AGATGTTCACATTTTTCTTTAAAAGGTACGAACACTTACCTGTGATACATATACACCGCGTTCACTGATGATACAGCCACCCATGGATTACGCCAAAACTCACGTTGTAGGACACTTCATGAAAAGGTTTGATATGGAAATTGTGCCCTACTTGGGCCGTAGCTTGTAGATTAACAGCAAGTCCCAATCTCAGAACATGGACAGTTTTCTCCTCAATTTTTTTCAGAGAACGTCATTTGCCTAGTTACACACATACATGTTCACAAAAGATACAGCCACCTTATATTTTCGCGCCCTTTTCCATTTTCCCCAGACACAACTGCTTGATTTGTGCTAAATTCTCCTGTTTCAGGCTGTGGGTTGAGGAATGTTGCTATACGATTTCGAGCAAGCAATTTCGCGCAAAAGAGGAGCAGGACCTGTCAAATCTTAAAATCGCTCGAGATTTGGGCCGATGCCACTCACTTGTCGACACTTCCGTCAGAAATCCTGCAAAGTATCGGTCCAAAAGAAGTACGGGACGTCTTTTGTGACTTTCGGAAAGAGGAAAGCGAATTATTCTGAGAGAAGCGTTGAATACACGAAGTCATGTGCGGAAATCAAGTCCTCCTCGAAGCCCAATGTTCCGAAGATTACTGATTGGGACGTGATGGAAAAGTCTGAGTTTATCGTTGACGGGAAATGAGGAAGGCACTCTTTTTGACCATCGTTCACCATCCGCTTTTTCACCGAGAAGCGTCGCTAACTGGGTCGTTTTTGCCAGAAATTGCATACGGACCAACTGGAGTAAGGTTATCAAGTTATAGGTTAGCTACGCCTATACCTTAGTGTGCAGCGGACTTGAGGGATGATTCTGTATGCTCATATATCTATATACATGTTTAATATACATGCTAATATGCAACAGAGTAGGACAAGGAGGAGGGGGAAGGGACAGGACGAGTTGTCTTGAGCAGCCATGACGATGGGTCGGGCGAATAGACTAGCCGCTATGATGACATCCAGTCGACGACTCCTATGCCAAGAAACAGCTGCTTTTATACCGTGGCTTGTGCATCACCGTGATGCAATCCATGCAATCGGCAAGGCTGACGAAATTCCGAGAATGTCTCGGACTGACGAATGACTCGGCATCTCCATTTCTTACAGGAAGCTCGTCCTCGATGAATACCATTCTATACAGCAGACGTCCGATGCGGAATGTGCAGACAAAGAGAACAATTATGAGTCAGCAAGTAGGTGTGAAAAAATTGAGCTACTAAATGAGTCAAGTGGCCTATACAAGCTGCCATCCAAGGGGCATGTGTGTTACTCTGTTGAGAGAAAAACTCGTCCTTGAATTGAACGTATTGGAAATAGGTGAGAATTTACGATGGTGGCAAATAGTGAATATTGAAGGATGATAACAGATTACATCAGCTATTTCTATTTCAGTTATGCTTACACAGTGTGTTCTACTTGATTAGGTTGTGTATTATAAAGGTTATTCTTAAGTGTGAAATTGTGCTGTATATGAATATTACATAAGATTTACTTGTAAATGGTCGTCAGCTTGGGTACAATATTAGTTACTAGTCTGAGTTAAGGTATTTGAATAGTAGGCAAGTAAGAGTGACGAAACGTATATAGGTCATGGTGGTCTTCGACTAATATACGGACAATGAAAACACTATGATACGGATACTAGCTTATCTTATTAAATTTACGAAGAATTGTGTTCTGCATGTAAGAACACATATTTTTGCTCTACCATTTTGGCTTGCTGAGCTTTGTTGTTTCTCCTGAAGACGACGAGACCGTCGTATTACGGGTTGTTCAATGTCATTTGATACTTCTATATCTGGGAGTGAAAGTGGTGGTGTAATGTTTGTGGAAGAAGTTACAGGTGGCATTGAAGAAGGAGAATACAGTTTTAGACGGTTAATATGTACTGCTGGTCGCATTTGGCGACCTACGAGATTAGTAATTATTATGTTAGGGCGATTTATCTTCTCAATCACTCAAGGGTTCCTCCACTGCTTTGTGAATTTAGAACGAACTGTGCCGCTATGCAAAAAGATCAGATCTCCGGTGGAAAATCTTTTGGATATACCTCATTGTCTAGATCGTGGTCCATCTTGTATTGTGCAGTATTCGAGGCGATCTTCTTGCCCAAATCCCTAATGATATTCTCCCGACAGTCTCTGTACGATTAATGGAACACCGAGGTGCTCATTAGACGAGAGTGTGAGACGCCGGTGATCTGTACACTCTCGTCTCGTAGTGATCCGCGAACAGCCGGTTGGCTGTCTCCTTTCACGAATTCTTGCGATTCCGACGATGGTTTTGCATGCGAATCCTGGGATTTAAAAAGCCCGCATATATAGTGGTTCTACAGAGTATTTCGCAACTCAGTTCCCACAGAACGGATAGCCAGTCCTGTCCTAGGCGTCGACGCACCCATCCCGCTGTCATTACTTTTATTTACTTTAGTTCTACTTACCGTTTCCTTTTGTAGTGATATTGTATAATGAACTTGCTTACCCTCAATATTTTTAGTATAACCCACATGCCTTTGTTCTGTCTGCATTCTTTACCTCAGTTATCCGATATTGGTTTTGTTCCTATCTTTAACCATGTCATCACACATAAGTTCACCTTAAGACAGTTTCTGGCAGTATCACAGCGTTACTTGGTTACGGTATTGTTGACGTGTATTGTGGTGACGGGTTTAATTACTCAAGTTCGAGAAAAGAAAAGAAGTTCCTGTACGTGTGGTCTCAGTCTGGAACGTGGTAGGAGAAATACACGGACAACCGCGTGGCAGCAAGATACGTGTGAACTGGTAGCTATTCTAAGGAATTGAGGCTATTCTCACGCTATTCTATCGATTTCCGTACAACCAGAGCGATACAGTTTTATATCACCGAATTTCTTCACATTTGTAATGTGAGATCAGTAATCTCAATTGGATGCGCGAGAGATTGAAAGCAGTGTTGCCACTGCTCATAATTTATAATCGTCGAATGGCAACATCAATATACCATATCCTCGAAGCAGTAGAAAGAGGTTTTAAGAGTGAATACTTCTCATTGGCCAAGCTAGCGTAGAATACTTGCTCTTATTTGCAGTAATGCAGGAGCTGGTAACAATAAAAAGAGACATCTTCGTGGTGGCTGGGTCTTACAATTAACGGTTTGAAGTACTAATTATACGGCCAATTGTGAGACTATTAACACGTTGGCGACCATGCGTCCCGATGGCAGGACGCACGTTTTTGACTCGCTGGGGTATTTATATAATTTATCAGGTGTTCCTATAATTTTTTCATGTTTTCGTGTATCAGCTAAACTCACAGCCTTCTAGAGAATTTTGAAGCATTGCGATCCAGGAAACATCGATTTCTAATTACAGATATAAGAGAAAGTGAAGGTTAATTTGAGGACAATATAAAAGCGCGGTGGCCAATGGGTTACAGTCTTGAATGGTTGAAACCGTCGATTCACGAGATTCTCTGAATGTCGGAAAAGCGGAAAAGCCATTTGCTAGTTCCATAATGACGGTACATTTATCGGAGTTATATTGTACTTTAGTAGGCCGTTATGAATGAAAGGGTAATCGTCGCCAGGACTATAACTTACTAATTTCAGGTGATAATGTCAGGCCTGCCACATTACACTCAGTAACGAAGTGCTTTTGTTATAAGCACCGAATTTTGACCCGTAAAAAATCGCATACGCTACCGTATACATTATTGTTTCCTGTATAATAGGAAAATTATGATGGCTCGAGGGTATTATTTCGAAAGACCTCTTTTTTCTACTATTACGTTTTATTATGATGGTGGTGGACTTACTGCACATCGTCGTTACCTCGTCAATGTTGCCCTCATGTCCTAAGTCTCCCAAGAAAAACGCGACGTCACTTGCTCTTAGTAGGCGGGGGAGGAGGATGGAGGGTAGGTTATCGAAAAAATAGGATAAGTAGTTGCTGGATCTCATAGGATTCTGGTTGTCCCTTCCCAGGAGAAAAATTATCTCCCTGGGGCTTCCATATCAGATTATAGGCTAGCTTTGCCTATACCTGAGTGTGTGTCGGACCTAAGGGATGCTTCTGTATACCCATATTTCTATAACATGTTAATTACGTACTCATATACAACCGAGAATAAAACAGATTGGAGGGGGATCAGAACGATTTGGCGTGACCAGCCACGACAATCAGTCGGCGACGACGACCTCCATGCCAGCAAACAGCTTCTTATGATCGTGGCTTGTGCATCAGCATGATGCAATCCTGTTTTAGGCAGTGACAGTTTCCTCTAAGGAGTGACGCCAATACTGACGAAATCTTGATGGATGACTCTAGCGAAACGAATGACTTGACATCTCTATATCAAGTTATAGATTAGCTATGCTTATACCTGAGTGTGTGGCGGATTCAAGGGGTGCTTCTGTATGCTTACATATCTATATACACGTTTATTATACAATCTAATATTCAATAGAGTAGGATAAGGAGGAAGGGGAAGGGACGGAAGAGTTAGCTTGAGCAGTCACGACGATGGGTCGGCGAGCAGCCCAATAGCTATGGCGGCTGCTTTTGTACCCTGGCTTGTACATCAGCATGGTGCAATCTTGATGGATGACATGACAGTTTCCTTGGCGGTAAGGCTGACGAAATCCCGATAATGTGTCGAGCTGACGAATGTCTCGACAAGGTGCCTTTTCATGGCTTGTCGTTTACTCTTCTTTCTCTTAATATTTCGTTTTCTAGGTGGTTTTTTCCATGAAAAAGTTAACTCTACCTCAGATGGAAACCGGTTCTACTGGCACTATCTGAGGAAGGTTAGGCTCAGTCTTCCAGACGGAATCTCAAGGAAGGAGGAGTCATTATATGGGCGGCAACTTCCTTTCATTAACATCTTCATTTATGGTCTGTCCCGAAGAAGCTCAACTCTCTCACCTATCGAGTTGTAATGCGTCGCGCTCTTCTTCTTTCTGAACGTCAGAATCGGTAACATGCTCGTATTCATGCAGGATAATGCCCCGATTCACGCCAGCCTGAGCACCCAGGCCCGGTATAGTCAGCACCAATTCGACCTTTTGCTCTGGCCGGCTAACAGTCCTGTCTTGGATTCAATGGAAAACGTATGGGGATCCATGATAAGGAAGAATGATGAAGGAAACAAGCAGTTGGAGGTATCAACGAGCTGAAGGAAGCAATCGTAAACGGTTGAAGCACCAAGTTGACCGTTTTGCTCACTTCATAAGCCTGGATCAAATCTTCACAATTGTTTAAGTTCAGGCAACCAGAACTCATTGATAGCCTTTACTGTAGCTCAGACAATCGTATTTTTGAGGTGATTCGAAGGAATGGGAGCTCAATTACTTACTAATCACACAACGTCCTCTCTTTGTCATCATTTAGCTGCTGAATAATATTGATTTGGTTAGTGGCTGTATCAAGTGTGAACATAGGCAAAGTGACCTTGTCTGAAGAAAAAATCAAGGGGAAGGTTGTCCATGTTCTTGAGGTGGGGCTGGCTGTTGATCTACATTACGGCCCGAACAGAGCACAATTTCCATATTAAGCTTTTTCCTAAAATGATCTGGAGCAAGAGTTTTGGTGCAACTCATGGATGACTGTATCATGAACGTAAACTATGGGCGCCAAAAATCAAAAATTCTCAGGGTATAAGTAATCCATCAGATTCGCATTACCTGCTATTGATTAGTTGCATAAGAAGGTTTCCTTGCAATATGCATGGTTACTGATGTGGAACTCCCCGTATCTTTTAGATGGAGGAGGCTCATTCAATGCCACTTGCAATCATTGACACGCGAGAGATGAAAGGGCATTATAAAATTCCTCGGGATTTGAATAATAACCGTATAAGAGCTTATTAAACGATATATTTATAAACGAAGATTGAATCGTAGACAAGCCAGGAAGAGGTAGAAAGGATGTCATGCAGAAGCTTCAATGTCATTCCTATCGTATGCAGGAATTTCGCTTCAGTTCCTATCTCAACAGACACTGCAGGGTCGAAAAGTGCAGAAAGTCGCAGACCTACATGAGTGATGACACGCAACCTTTCATCGTTTTTTTCTGGCCAAAAAATTTTTTACGATAAAACCATCCCTGAAGAAATAAAACGTACCGGAAAGAAACATCTATCGTGCAAATGCTGTATAAACAGTAAAATAATGTTTTTTGAAGAAGTCACTGGCAAGGGTAAAACGCTTGTGGTTTCTTCGGGTGCCGGCGCGAAAATTGACCAAGACCGGTGCTCAAAGAGCGTACCGATAGACGTAATAAAACATTCGACTACGTTTTCTGAAACATCTCGTAGTCTTTCCAGCAGGACGGTACTCCAGCCTACAAGGCCAAGCTTGCCCGCGAGTGGTGCCGATGACAGCTGCCCGACTTTATCGTCAAAAAGTAATGGCCATCCCGTTTTCCAGAACTTGATTCACTCGAGTCCCCCGTACGCCGCAGGTGGTCGACGTCGATATCGTCCGACGCCTTTTGAAGCGCCAACTTCAGAATGTCCTAGCGGTAGGAGCGTCCTGCGATTTTGCTTTCCAAGTACCCCCCATACAGAGAAGTCCATTGGATTGAGGTTTGGCGAACACAAAGGCCAGATGTCTTTGCCTTAGTAACCAGGGGAGTGCGCGTCCAGTACAGCTTTGTCGACTTCGAGGCATGAGAAGGGCCCAATCTTGCTGAAGTGCGAACGATCGGTTACGAAAGTGTTCAGTGACCCAGGGTAGGAGGGTGTCCACAAAAACTGCCATTTGGTAGACCTTGGATTTTCACGTTTCTGTTGATGAAGATCAAAGTTGTTCTGCTTTCTGATGCCACTCCGGCCCAAACCATTACACTTTTGAAGATTGTCTGCTGCGCTTAAGACGACGTTTAGGGGATCTGCTGTCAGCTTTTCACAACAACTGCCTCTGGTTCTGACGGTTTGGATAGTGTTCTACGGTGAAAATTTTCTCATTAGTCCAGATCGCGCCAGTGATGCGGCGGGCCTTTAGCTCTCGAAGAAGTTTTTTCGCATTTCATCAGTCAATTTGCTTGGACTGCTCTAAAGGAACTGTCTTCGACGGAGCGGTAACTGTTCAGCTTGAGGTCGCGTTTCACAATTTTCTGGACGATTTGACAGCTGATGTTGAGATCAAGAGGAATCTAATTTATGCCGACTCCATCATTGCGGGTGGTCCTCTTCTTGGTGATATCACGAATCCTCGGTGGTTCGCTGTTCTTGGTTCTCCCCTTTTTTGGCTTCTCAGAGGCATGTCCTTTATTCCTGAGAGCGGCAACGTTCCGTACTGTTGAGTAGGGGCCGTCGAGTCGTTTCGCGATGGCGCAGCTCCTGTAATCGTTTCTGAGCAACTTCTCGATAGTGGGCCGATGCATGGGAAATTTAGAGCCGATTGTTCGGGCGAACGGTCAACCAAATGACTGTATGGATTCTTGTACAGATCCCGCGCTTTCTGAAAGTCCTCGAAGATTCGAAAACACCCAGTAGCAGGGTGCCAGCAAGCGCCAAACGGCGCGTCCTATACTTTTCAGCAACCCTGTATATATACTACATATATGCATGTATGTATGTATATATGTATATATGTACATATATACGTATGTTTATTATAGCAGTATAAATATTTTTCGAACGCATGCTCTTGAAGCTTGTTTACGAGTTCAAGAAAATGCGTTCAAAAAGTTGCTCCAAAAAACACCTCCCATTTACTACCCGAACGATCCAGTTCTTATGAATCCGGAGTCGTCATTAGTTCATTCCAGAGGCTCGCTCAAGGTGTGCAGCAGTATGCTTACACATGTATTCAAGATCATCAAGTATGGAGTAATCACCGTTTCTGGGAGGCTGCGTTCTTCCATGATGTACACGAGCTTATGCGTCGTCATTATGGAAATCAACATGACACTAACACACTACTATCAGGAAAGGTCGATGAAATCCGAACACTTCACAGTTCAAACATACGTGGATCCATTGCAAAGTTTCAAGGGTCATTCGCAACTTTTCCAGAGTCGCCACGACATGTGGAACCTTCTAGAGGAGCCAACTGCAATGACGTTATCGGCTGCACGGCTCAGCCGTCTGTCCGATTTTTCTGACGAAGAGCTGATGAAATGTAGTGAAGAGGTTGTCGCACGTTCCTGTTTTTTAAGCTCAACTGTTTCCTGAATTTCTGAAGATTTAGGAAGAATCTATTGTGCACGGTCAGGCGAAGCATTATGTTAATCTCATGATCTACATAAAAGTTCCACTCGATGCTTCAAGACTGCGTAGGGTTGATAAAAACGACCTGGAGTCACGTGGCAATTTCCAAGATCAACATGACGTTGGTTTTTGCGTGGTTAGCTATTTCCACCATTGTTCGTATTTGTTTTAATACAACATACATACATACATACATACATACATACATACATACATAC